AACACAATTTTTAATTTATAAAATTTTCTTCACACATTTAAAAAAAAAAAATTTCCTATAACCATCCCTATAACTATTTCAATATAAGACTGACTTAACAAATTTTACTATTAATTTTTTTATACCAATATTTTACCAAACACAACAAACTTAGTAACTTAATAAAATTTTATTATAAAATTTAATAACTTTCTATATAATATTTTCTAATCTACTTTTTCAATAAAAATTTTACTGATAAAATAAATAAGTCCTACAATTCAAGTCTAAAGAAGATTAAAGTGGAGAAAAGGCTACACTCAATGCAATTGTCTTCTCTGTGAATAGGAAGCCACTTACCTTTTGCTTCCAGACAAAGGGACAATCGACCATTGAGGTTCTTTATTTTATTTTATTTTATTTTCAGCCCCAATTCAGGTATTCAAACGGTCATTTCCCTAACAAAACCAAACCTCACAATTCAAATTCTATTGAAATATATTGTTTTTAACTCATCGGTAAAAATTTATATTACTAAAAAATATTTCACAATTTAAGTTGTATTCAAATATAAAATATATGAATAAAAAATATATAGAACATATGTACCAAAAAATATATAAAATATAAAATTTTAAATAATGAGGGACCACTAATAATAAGTAAATTTTTTTTTAATAATTAATATTTTATTGTGCGATATTGACAGCACAATCCAACTTGGTACATTAATTTCGAAGGTGACATTTCGATGAACAAAATGGCAGCTTCCCCAAATTGACAACAGTCGAAATCATTAAACACGTTGCAATTTCCAGTGGTAGGGCTTAGCATCATCTGATGCCAACGATTTCTCAAAAACGTACCTTTTTTTTTTTCTTTTTATTCTTTTTTGCCAATAACACAGAATAAAAACATGTTCAAACAGTGTTATTTCCCCCTTTATATTGTGTATGGAGTTGTCGTCTACTTACAAAAATACAAGTTTCACATAAATTATCAACCTTTAATTTCTAAATCTAACGGCTCAAAATGATGTGCTACACCTTTTTTTTTTTCCGAGACAGATGTGATTTACTTAAAAATATATCTCAAACTGTTAGATACTAAAATTGATAGTAATTTGCAATCCCCCATGTGGCCAGTGGTGGCCACGATGCCTCTTGCATAACAGGTGGAATACACCCTATTTCAAGGTTTGATCTTCCCTAATAACAACAAATATTAATATCTAATCTAACCATTTCCTCATGTCAAAAAAGGAAAAATGATAGTAATTTAATCAAGACTTAAAAACATAAACGGATCACGACTACGCATATGTTTCGAAGCACTACAAATGGATAGATATTTTTCCAATTATTTTTGTTTTACATGAAAGCATGAGAGAAATATAACAGCCATAAAACTGGCTGTGGATAGAACATCTTATCCGGAAAAAAATTCCTGGAATTAGCATTTAAGATCAGAATTAATTTGAATCTTATGTTCCAAAATAGGTGCAGGCCAGGGATAAAATTTCAGACTCAATACCATAGGACCACATCTATCAAGACAAAGATCACCTAGAAGAAGATGCTTTATGCATGGACCCATATGCGAACTCAGTGTGGTTGTATCATTCATATATTCACTAATAAATCCACATCAATTCTTCTAGGACCACAGCTTGGTTTAAGTAGCCGTTTTTGGCTCTAGGTCTAAGCCTTCATTATAATGCATTGAAGAAAAGGCTTTCAACGTGGTCCCGATAATAATACTAAAATGGCATGCTGGCTGCACTAATGGCAAACACATCACATGAGTAAAGGAAAATGCACATACCTTTTCATCCCCACCTTACTGCAATATTTTCTTTGGAGCTGATGTTCTTCTGGCCATTGCTGCCTGTAATTGTTGCAAAATTTATCATGTGAGACAAACTGACAAAATGAAAAGCTGTATCTTGAAAGAAATTGATGGGCTACAAATGGCCTGGCAAAAAGATCCTGCTACCAAAGGGTTAACCAAACAGTTCTGAAACATTAAACTGGTTAAAAGGATAACCACAAAATGTAACAAAGGATAAAAGCCTAACAAATGCGAACAGTTACAGTAGATAGCAAGAGTCAACAAAAAATGCACAACATTTGACTGTATTCTTAGGTTTAACTAACAGCACAATGAACAACTGCAGAACTTGGACACAAGTTTCCATGTACAGAATATACATTGCAGTCAAACCCAGACATCTGATACCAAGGAATTTACAGCTGATGGGGGCAATAATTTCTGTTTGGTTTACAGGTGAACTGCTAGACACTAAAGAAGCAGCCTGAGCAGTGCGAATGTAAAACACCTCAAAGAAAAGACCAGGTCAGAGCTTCATGCAGAAAAACCAGCTTCCATTGCTCTCAAGATTGCAGCAGTATCAAATCTAAAGTTTCTGAAGCTCTTCCCAGGACCAGTATCAGGAGGATTAGCATCGGATGCAGGTTTTGATTGACTCTCGATTACCGTGGAGCTATTCCCTATAGAATTGTTCTTTGCTTTCCACACACAGATCCCTTGACAAGAAATGAGAAGAACACATCAGCATATACACCAGGAAATTACAATGGACCAGGATTCGAGAAAAACGAGACATTTCCCAGAAGTTTATGTCACAAACAGAAAATATCAGTTAAGTACGACTAGGGGAAGCAAAGTTAGATGACAAGTAAAGAATCTAACAATAAATGCGCCTTTCTATTTTTAGTTTTAAATCCACAATGTTCTTACAAAGCAAAATATTAATTGTTAAAAAGAAGAGAGAGCAGAAACCTTTGAGAGGCAAATCAGGTCTTGGAGCTAGAGGTGGTGGATGTGTTGAAATCCATGATTTCAAAGATCTGCTTTGACACACAAATATGATTCTTTTTTTGCCAATGATATTTAAAAGAATAGTCATAACAACAAAATCCTTACGCTAGAAAAGGCGCCACCATATACAGTTTGAGGCCAGTGATCCCACGAGATATCAGTTCATCACTTGCTGGCTGCAGGTCATCAAGCCGATGCCATGCAATTTCCTGCAATCATAAATAACAACGGTCATGTGGAAGACATAAGGCTTTGGAATCCTCAAGGAATTGAAAATGAAGCCATACTAAAATCTATTGGCCAGAGAACAAAAAACAAAATAAGAATCCTGACTTTAAATACCCAGTGAACCTTAAAATTATCAACAAAGGAACCAGTCAACTACATACACTAATCTCCTTTTTTGTCTGTGGGGCGAAGGCAGTATCATCCTTTACACCAGCAATTATGTAGAGCCGCACCCTCTGCTGTCCAAATATTACTTCAATATATTCATCTTTGTTAATGAGCTTTGACACATCAAAACCTGTTTCCTCCAAGACCTGTTTTTCCGTAGAAAAACACATCAATAATTGTATACAATAAAGAGCGAAGATAGGAAAATAAGAGAAGGGATACATGAGATTAGATTCAAAAAAATACTCAATAATGACTTGCAGTGTTTTAGTGCTAGAAACTGAGCTGAAGGCGTCTAATCAGCACCCATCAAATGTTTCTCTAAAGTAGCAGGCAACATAGAAGATGAATAACATGCACTCATTTTTCCACAATTAGAAGAAACCTCGGACTACCACTTTGGACTGTCAGAAGTAGAAAGAATAAGCTTATTCACGTTTTTTCTGCCCTCATGAGAACCATGAAGTTTGAAATACGTTTAAAGAGCAAGCTATATTGTTAGCTTCTGTTTGAAGAATGGCCAGAAAAGAACATGCTCCTTCAAAAAGTAAGCACATTCCGCACCACTAGCATTCCCTATTCAGGTTTCTCTAAGCACAGAGAAAGATAATTCTAGCTTAAATAAGTTTGTACTCTGTAGCTTGTTAGTTTCATCATTAGCTAGCAGAGCCTGCTGGCTACCATCTCAGGAACAATAACAGCTCTGAATTGATATAGCATTGACGCAAAGTGCTAAATCAGACATACTGCAAAAGCCATGTAATTGTTAAAGGAAATTAACACATCATTTTCCTACTTGATCTAAGGAAACAGTTCTACTCATTGACCAAGTTGATTAACAACACATATAACCTAAAATGTACTTTGATTATCACATATCCTCTAATATGAGCCTGCAGAAACTAGAGCTCAAATTTGACGAGAATCACAAAGTTAACCCCATAAAATAGAAGAATTCCATAAGAAATGATCTTACTTCTCTAATGGCACATGCATGGTCTTCCTCATCTTTGTTCTTTTTTCCACGTGCGAAACTCCAGCTTGTCCCTTTCCATCCCTTCACCAGCACACACTGTAAATTGCACCCAACCAAGAATTAGAAAGGAAGGTAAGAGTACTGACATGAATGCATAACAAAAGTTCTTTTACTAAGTATAATTAACATTATTATAATGTTTCTAAGTCAACTTGCTGAATTGGCAGACAAAAAGACAAATGAAATGGTTTTATGTTTCACACCCACCACTAGGACTTATTGTTGCTACCTTGCTTATGACAGAGACTTACCCGTTCATATGTCTCATCCAAAATAATTGCTCCAGTTACAGGAACTCGAACCTTGTAATCAATGAAATCCTTAAATATGTCATCTATATGAGCAACATAAGGCCTTAAAACATCACAACTGTTAAACACTAGTAAGTGTTAAGGAAATCAACAATGATGAAAAAATAACACCTTGATATAGAAGACAAATAAAAGTATGGAATTACAAAAGATTAGAGAACTGTGGAAAAAATTTCAAGGAAGCAACAATTTAATAAATACTGAAGGGGATACATAAGGAAGTGAATTCCTTGAGATTGAATGACTTCAGGGATGGATTTTTTTCCACTGTATTATCCTCATAGAACCAATGTGCATACTCCACTAGGAATAGAATTCTTTCAAATGACTGTTGGTCCTCTTTTGGCACATTTAAAACAAACCGACTGCACCAAAATCATCCGGGTTAAAAACCAATATCAATGACAAGATAAACCCAACACATAGCTAATGCTACAACATCTACTTTCATGGTTCTAGAATAAACGCACATCCCAGACAACCTATTCCAACCTACTTATTAAATAGCAATCCCCCCAATCCAAGTCCTCTGAAAGTTCAAACATCAGAGTCCTTTAATCAACTCATGAAATGCTCTAGTAGAATCCAAATATTTACTGCAGTACTAGCAAGCTCAATTTCCCAAAGAGCAAGTTAACAATTCCTACTGAAAGTTAACACCATCTATAAATGCATTCAATTATGTATCAGACTAAGTTCTCCTGTTGCAAATATAAATATAATCAAACTAGCAATCCTCTCCCAAATCTCCCCCAAAATTTTCCCAAAAAAGGAGAAAACCAAACGCGAAAACATGCTGATTATGATTTGATCACCTCCAAAACCCTAGATTTTCAGAAAATAATTTCACAGTAAAAATAATTGCGAAGAGTGTTAGTATATGAACCTGCAGAGATCATCGAGGAGCTCTTGAGGAGGGAGGCCGTTCTTTGATGGCGCACTTGAAGATCGATGAAGCGCACACATGGCTTCACTGAAATCTAAAACCCTAATCCTAAATTTTTTACAGAAATGGAAAAGAGAGAGCTCCCTTCTGGGATCTCCCCTACTGAACCAAAAACGTTCCTGCGCCCCTCTGAAAACCACTTTCGGGTTACTTCTAGAATTTATAGCTACAGCATAGACCCGAACAAAATTCCGGGTTTTCCACCCGCTTTCCCGCTTCAGGTAAAATCTCGTACTTAATCCTTAGTATTATAGTAGGGTTCCAATGGCATCCTAAAACTTTCTATTTGGATTAATTACGTATAAAATATTTTATATGAGTCCAATATGATATCGTTTGGTTAGTAACGTCAGCCGATTTGGCTTGGGTGGAGGCGTGGAGCTTTGAAAAAGGTATTTTGATTTTTTTTTTCTGAAAATAAAAAAAATGGTATTTTGATTGTAAAAAGGGTAAATCATGAAATTATGTAAAATAAATTTAAATAACTTTTAAAATTAATGAAATTTGGCAAATTTCAAAACTTTAGCATTTTAGTTTGTAAAGTAAGTACAAAATTATAAAAACTTCAATAAAAATTAAATTTGTTTTGTATAAGTTGAAGAAAAGTCGCTACTGTAGAAATACTACCAATAACTTCCCAAAAAGTTGGGTGGCTTGGCATTCATCGGACACACCCTTGATGGGTCTTTATGTCAAACAACGGGACATAAAAGTGCAGGTGGCCTTATAAGAGACCATAGAGGTGCTTGGGTGCATAATTTTCATGGCTAAATTATGAAATTTTGGTGAAAAAGGAAAATTTCACGGCATATTTCCTTGCAACAGTAAGACATGGAATGCCTAAAGGCATAACTTTCTTTTTATTTTTTTGGTACATAAGGCCTAACTTTCTTTGATATGTCTCCATCTGCATTAAACTCCGACCTGATGGGTGATGATGTTGCAAAAGTTTTTTTTGTATTAACTATAATCTAGTTACGTCGGACTCCATTAGACAAAAAAATCTTTCAGTATTTGTTTTTTCATTCACAAAATTTAAATTTATTCATTCACAAAATTCAAATTCGAGATCTTATTTAAAATAAATCAAATTACTTCCATTCGGAGCAACAAGTTGTTGGTGAAGTTATAGGAGTTACTTTCATGCGTACCACAATTTAAAACGTTTAGGACCCAATTGAAATCAAATTTTAACGTTGGGGACTAAACTTGTTATTTACATTCGGCTACCAGATAAACAGAATCTCCTACTCACGCAGGGTACTCCGCTTGTTCAGGTCAAACCCAAACTGAACTGCAATCTCCTGTCATCTTCTTCTTGGTCAAAGAATGCGAAACAGACCTCAAAATTCTCCTGTTAAATCCAAACCATCGACTGCTGAATCAAGTGATGCTTCTGAAGCTGATGAACGAAGCAGAGTGAATAACAGTATTAGACTAAAAACCGCGAGGAGGTCAGGATTCGTATGGCTGACTTTGTTCGTGGTGATCATATACTGTTCTTGGGCTGTTTACCGTTACCAGTTTGAGAATTTGCCCGTACCACTTACGGCGGAGCAGGCGGGGAAACGGGGTTTCTCGGAGGTGGAGGCCTTGAATCATGTCAAGGCACTGACTGAATTGGGACCGCACCCTGTTGGTTCTGATGCTCTTGATCTTGCTCTGCAGGTTGGGTCTATGCCAATCTTTTTATCCTCCTTCCTGGAATCGTTATACTGAATTTCTCAATTTCATGTAGTCCTGCTGATATCTTTGAATTCACTATATACCTTTCAGTTGTGAATATGGTTTCAATGTTTATGTTTTAGTTTTGTAAATTGCTAATTTTTCTCATTATTGTGACATTAAAGTAATAATGAATGCTCAAGTAATCCCTTTGTTGCAATCATTTTTGTTTAACATTCTTTCTGCAATAGTATGTTTTGGCAGAATCAGAGAAAATTAAGAAAACGGCACATTGGGAGGTTGATGTTCAAGTGGACTTCTTCCATGTAAAATCTGGTGCAAATCGTCTAGCCAGTGGCATGTTCAAGGGGAAATCAGTTGTTTATTCAGATCTAAATCACATCGTATTAAGAATATTGCCAAAATTTGTATCAGAAGCAGAAGAAAATGCCATTTTGGTCTCTTCTCACATTGATACTGTTATCTCAGCGTATGGTTTCATCATATTTTTTTCTTTGTTCTTTATTTTTTTCAAATAATTTTGCTTTTGCGTCATTTTAGGTTATATATTTTACTTAAAGGTGTCACTTTAAGTTGTTCTTGCAAATTTGTTCCAATAATATCTCATTCTGTTCAGGGAAGGGGCTGCTGATGACAGTTCATCTGTTGCTGTAATGTTGGAACTTGCTCGAGGGATTTCTCAGTGGGCTCATGGCTTCAAGAACTCTGTCATATTTTTGTTTAACACTGGGGAGGAGGAGGGTCTAAATGGTGCTCATAGCTTTATAACTCAGGTTGGAAGCATTCAATGCATTCACTTAAGTTGTGGTATCAAGGATTGCTTCTTGAAAAAAAAAGATGAGTGACAATCTTGTGGATAAAATAATAAGTGATGACTCTTCTGCAGCATTGCTTCAAAAATAGAAGTGCTGTGACTATTTGTTTATTGTTTACAAATGAAGTTTCATAGATAGGACTGACTTTTCAGTTTTGCTGCAGCATCCTTGGAGTAGGACTATTCGTATGGCTATTGATTTGGAGGCCATGGGCATTGGAGGGAAGTCTATAATTTTCCAGGTATAGTTCTGGGAATAATTTATTTTCCAACCTTCTTATACGTGCCTAGATTGTGGATTCTTCTAACCCACCTATTAAACATCTATATATCCTTCTTATATTTTCTTCTTTGCTTGATAGGCTGGTCCTGATCCATGGGCTATCGAAAACTTTGCCTCAGTGGCAAAATACCCATCTGCTCAAATCATAGCACAGGTATAGTTCTCTTTTCTACTTTTATGGATGTGTGTGTTTTATTCTCAAAATACTGGGGTTGGATGCTCACCTGTCCATGGAACTGAGTCTGTTAGCATTCTGCATACCTCATTTCCTGTATGCTGTGCTTTGATGCTTTATGTTTACTAATGTTAGAAGGAAACTTAAATCTGAATGATACTATTGCTGCAGGATCTTTTTTCTTCTGGAGCCATAAAATCTGCAACAGATTTCCAAGTATACAAAGAGATTGCTGGTCTTTCTGGCCTTGACTTTGCATACATAGATAACAGTGCAGTATATCACACTAAGGTCTTTCTTTGTTGTCTTTGCCCCTTACTGTACATTGATTTGAATCTTGAAAACATCTCTTTTGTACCCAACTGTTGTTCATTGGGGTTCTTTCTTCAATTATTCTGATAAAATAACTAAGATCTGTTTTTATTTAGCACCCTTTTTTCATAACCAATCATATTATTGGTATTCTTAGTCTTGTAATTTTTCCATCATTGGAGCTCATATAAATCTTTATACACTTTTTTCTTATATTCCTCATCTTGGAAATGATTCATCGTCTTTGAGAGATTGATTCTCAAAAATCCTAGCCAAGAGAAGGGAAAGCCAGAGAGAAAGACAACTGATGGGTTTTATTCTAATTAAGATTTTAAAATTTTCTATTTGCAGAATGACAAACTAGAGCTATTGAAACCTGGATCTCTTCAGCATCTTGGGGAAAATATGCTTGCTTTTCTGCTTCAGGTTGCTTCATCTTCTCAGCTTTCAAAAGGCAAAGCTGTTGATGAGAATGAGAAATCTAAGGACGACAGTGCTGTATTTTTTGACATTTTGGTAACTTCATAATCACTCTTTGTTATTGGCTTTAAAACCTGTTTTTATCTTTATCCTTGCGTTGATTTTTTGTAGACTCTTTTTTCTTTTGAGGCATTCTGCTGCCTATAACTAGGATTTGTAATTTGCTGTTTCTAACACTTTTTTCAATGTCAGGGAACTTATTTGATTGTATACCGTCAAAGTCTTTCAAATATGCTTCATAATTCGGTGATAATGCAATCAGTTCTGATATGGATCACATCTCTACTTATGGGTGGTTATTCCGCTGCTGTTTCATTGGCCCTTTCATGCCTGAGTCTTATCCTCATGTGGATATTTTCACTAAGTTTCTCTGTTCTCATTGCCTTCATTCTACCCCCAATATCTTCATCACCAGTGCCATATATTGCCAGCCCTTGGTTGGTGGTTGGGTTATTTGCTGCACCTGCTTTTCTTGGGGCATTGACTGGTCAGCATATGGGCTATCTTATTCTGCAAAAATATCTATCAAGTGTTTACTCTAAGAAAAAGCAGCTGTCACCTGTTATTCAAGCTGATTTGATCGAGTTAGAGGCTGAAAGATGGCTGTTTAAAGCTGGTTCTGTACAGTGGCTTGTTCTTCTGTTGATTGGAACTTACTATAAAATTGGATCAGCATATATGGCTCTTGTTTGGCTAGTCCCACCAACATTTGCATGTAAGGAAACATTTACAAAGTAATCTTGATCATAAGAATGACCAAGGACACTTCTGTTCATGAGATGCCTAGTCACTATGATGACAAGAAAAATAATGCTAGATTGTCACAAGTTATGGCCCTGTGAATGCAATAATGTAACATGTGTGCAATTCTTTACCTTAATGATATTTGCTTCAGACTAATTTTCTAAACATTTCAGATGGCTTTCTGGAAGCAACTTTAACCCCAGCTCGATTGCCAAGGCCACTCAAACTTGCAACTCTGCTGATGGGTTTGGCACTACCAATTTTAGTTTCAGCTGGAATATTCATTAAATTCACCAGTTTACTGATTGGAATGGCAGTACGATTTGATAGGTAAACTTTATAGGATCAGTGTTAATAATTCCAATTATTGGCTGCTTTGTTGAAATTCTTGCCCTACCCCTGCCATTTAATTATTCATGGATTGTTATTGAAGCATAGTGTCTGTCTGTGGCATGACTTGGCTTCAGTTTAATTCTGAAATTGGGAGTTTATACTTGCTTCAATAGACATTTAAGAAATCACTAATAACATTATTTGCCATGCATGTGCAGGAATCCGGGTAGCACACCAGACTGGCTTGGAAGTGTGATTGTTTCTGTTTTTATTGCTGCTGTCATTTGCCTGACTTTGACATATGTTCTTTCATATGTTCATATTTCTGGTATTCATTTATTTTAGAATGCTTTCTTAGTATTCTGATTTTATTAGTCATTTAATTTTATTCTATATATGTCGTATAATTGTTGTGTAGGTGCAAAAACATCTATTATCCTTGCAACCTGCGTTCTGTTTTGTCTATCACTTGCTGCAGTAATATCTGGTATACTTCCCCCATTTACTGAAGACACGGCCAGAGCTGTGAATGTAAGTCTTCTATGGCAATATTTCAGTTATTACATTCTTCAACATCACATTTAGTTGTTACCATTTTTTGCATTGACAATCAACTACAAAATTTTTTCCTCTGGCTCTCAAGACTAAATGTGTTCAACTTGTTATTAATAAATTGCAGTATTGCCTGTCTTATATACTTTGTGTGTGTGTGTGTGTTTGGCATGAATATCACATCATCTATTGATTATGTCTACATGATATATTTGAGGGAGATAACAATATTTTGTGGTTCCAGGTTGTTCACGTTGTCAATACAACAGAACGATTTGGTGAAAAGCCGAATTCATTTGTATCTCTATTTTCTTTAACTCCTGGAAAGTTGACAAAGGAGGTTGAACAAATTAGAGAAGGCTTTGTATGCAGTAGAGACAAGGTCATTGATTTTGTTACTTTTTCAGTCAAATATGGTTGTCTGACCTTTGATGAGACGGAAGTTGGGTGGAGTAAGTCAGATATTCCCACGTTGACTGTTGTGAGTGACACCATGGAGGATAAGAGAGTCACAAAAGTTTCAATCGATACAAAGAGTTCCATACGCTGGGTTCTAGGGATCAATACTAATGAAGTAGAAGATTTTATGCTTAAAGGTATTCTGGCTCCTGTCATGGGAGTTATTATTTATTCTAATTTCCTGATTGTATTTGTTTCTTTCAATTCCCTGCTTTAGGATAATACAAACTTCACCTGCTCCAATTAGTGAATATGATTGCCTGCCCTTCTTTACGTCAAGCACGTTTTTTCCTCACTTTTGATCTTTTATTAACATTGCCCTGGAATGCAGAGAATATGGAGGAGTTAGTTCCATTGGGAGACAAGAGCAGTGTAGATGGATGGCATATTATTCAATTTTCAGGTGGGAAAAATGCACCAACAAGGTTTGACCTGACTCTCTCCTGGCTAAAAAATACCACAAGGCAATCACACAAAGAAGACGACCATCCCCTTCTAAAGCTGAGAACTGATCTTAAAGGAGTAACACCAATAGCTGAAAGAATTCTTTCAAAGCTTCCACCATGGTGTTCCCTGTTCGGGAAGTCTTCGTCTCCTTACACACTCTCTTTCTTAAGTAGCCTTCCTGTTGACCTGCTGGGAATTGTTACAAATAAGGAAGCGTCAATTGGGAACAGGTAGCAGTATCCTTTCAGGATGACCCGATGCATTCTTTGAGAGGTAGATATATGTGCAGCTATGCAAGTATTCGACTCCACAGCTGAAGACTGAAGCTACCAGACATCAGCAAAAATGTACCCCATTTGTTTTTAGTTTTTTTTTATTTTTAACCCTAGTGTTAAATTATTATAGTAAGTGGTGGCAGACATATTTCCAAGAGATGATGTGGGATACATAGCATAGGATATGGACAATTGACATGGCTATTGGTTTTTTCTATGTATTCCACAAAATAAGTACAAACAATGGCTATGGTTTCCTTTCTCCTCTCCCTGAACCTTTTGCCCAAAGCATTGAAATTGTTAGTTGTAATAAACTTCAGGTAGTAATTTTTATAATTCTTTTATATGAATTCCTGATTCACCATTTTTATAAAAAATTTACTCCAACAGACTTAATACAACAGGTGAGTCTCTTAATGAAGACATCAAGACTCTGAAAAGTAATACAATTTGCATGCACTTCAAGGTTAATCCTTCCTCTCTCTTTAGCTGATACACGACAACAATGGCGAGGTCAAGGGTCAGGGGTTTACAGTGTAATCTCAGTATGAATTCATTTTTAACTGTAGTAACGAATTCAGGTGGTCTGTTTGAACAAAGAACAATCTATGGATCCTCTCGATTGTGGAGATGGGATTTAAACGAGGACAAAACTGGAATATTGTAACCGAAATTCTTACATCATGTTAGTTGTTGTTTAGTCAGAGATACTTAGCTAAGGCAGCTAACCTTCCTCACTGCTTCTCTGCTCTGCTCCATCAAAAACAAAACAACACAATTCCCATTCTTTACAGACACACAGAGAGAGTGAGGGATTATCTCCCAGACATGCGGAGCATTCCATTGGGTACCACCGTAACGGTATCTGTATCACCAAAGGCATCGTCCTCGAGATCCTCTCCCCTCTCTGTCTCCCTCAAGAAGCAGCAGCAGCCTCTCTTCCTTTCCTCTTCTTCCATTTCTAGGGTTTCTCACGACCCACCTTTCTCCAAATCAGGTACACAACAGCTATATATATGTTGTTGAATTTGACCCATCATTGTTTTACTGGGTTTTGATTTTTATGCTTCTTCTAGATGTAAAATCAGTTATGATGGTTTTATCAAAATTGGGTATTTCTTCTATGCACAGATTTAGTTGATTTCTATTCTGTTTGTTTGCTGCAGAATTAGGTGTAATTCTGTATTTACGTTCTAATAGATCTTATACTAATTCTGCTATACCTTAGTCTCTAAGCTAAAAAGGGGAAGATGATGAGTTTCAGCATGATTTATACTTCTCCCCAATTTTGGAATGTGGGTTTCTCTTATGGTAATTGGGATTCCATGTTCAGAGATACATTGGAGTAAAGATTCTAGTTTTATTGAATTCAATTATGTTTGATTGATTTTTGCATTATGATGCTAAATGAAATTTAGAAACTTAAAATGGTATTGGTTTTTCTTGCTCCAGCTACTGTAACAGAATCGGGAGAGCAACTAAAACTTAATTGGTCTGTGTTTTTTTGTTTTGATGTAAGTTGTTCTAGGAGTAAGCCGAGCCAGTCAAGTGGTTGAACTGTTTCCCACTGTGTCTCCGGAGATTGTTGTCCGAGAGGCACGGATAGAGGACTGTTGGGAAGTGGCTGAGACTCACTGTAGCTCATTCTTCCCAGAATACTCCTTCCCTTTGGATTTTGTGCTGAGGGTCGACAGGCTGGTGGCAATGCTGTCAGGGTTCTCTGTACCGCCTGGTTGCAAGAGAACTTGTTTGGTTGCTGTCATTGGGAATTCAGTTGATGACACCTTCTTAATTGGAGGTGAAGATTTCAAAATTGGAGGCTTTGATGGAAAATTCAGTCTTAATAGAGGATACGTGGCTGGAATATTAACAGTGGATACTGTTGCTGATTTTCTTCCTAGAAAAGGGCCACTCAGACAGAGAAGGTGAGTTGCAATTGCATACATACTGGGGTGCCTTCTATAGCTAGTTAAGGACCCATTTGGAAGTTAGTTTAGAATTTAGAAATTAGAACATGTCCACTCCAATCATTCCTCTGCTTTTAATCTTGTGTTTTTTGTTGCATGTTATCTTCTGTTGATATAGTTGGGATGTTGTGGGGAGAACGGGGTTAAACCTTTTATCCCGTCCCTCCTAAAATAGGGTACCAACTGCTAGCTTGGTAGGCTTTACAGTGTTTATTGTGTCATTGAATATAGTTTGCTAGAAATGAAGCTTGATTATCTCTATCACAGGGCTGGAATTGCGTACATATCAAATGTTGCAGTTCGGGAGAGGTTCCGACGGAAGGGAATAGCAAAAAGACTCATAGCCAAGGCAGAGGCTAAAGCCAGAAGTTGGGGCTGCCGTGCCGTAGCATTACACTGTGATTTGAAGAATCCTGGAGCCACAAAGCTGTACAAAGGACAGGGCTTCAAATGTATTAAGGTGCCTGAAGGAGCAAATTGGCCTCAGCCTAAGACCTCGCCAGACATCAAATTCAACTTCATGATGAAGCTTCTAAGCATCCCAACCACTGCGTAGATTCTTTAGAAACATTAAAAGATTAATTAGAAAAAAAACAAGAAAATGTAGGATATTTGGATTTAGATTCTTGTATATAAGCAAACTGATGGGACTAGCTGCCGCCCTTCAGTGAATACCTCTGTTGCCTGTATGGTTTATGGCATGCCAATTACTCATCTATTTATTTGATAGATGGCATCTTTGTAAAGTTGTTGCACTTTGGAGTTGTGAAATCCATGGCCTTTTGAGCTCCTTTAACTTCCATATAATTACCTTCCTAATTGATGATTAGCAACATTTCCAGTCTATCAGCAATCTGTTCCTGATCTAATGTGGCACACAATAAATAAATTGCAAAGGTGTGATTTAACAATGAAAAATGATTTGAAAATTTTATCACATTTTGATCCAATTTTACATGTTAATTAAATAATTAATTTTTTTGAGTTACTTGAAACTTGTAATATTAAATGCATTCACTTATTTAATGATCTGTAAAAATTGTATTAATATATTGTAAAATAAATTCTCTCTATATCACCACCCTTTAGCAATTATATAGGCATTTTTTCTGGCCATGCAGTTTTAGGCATTGATCAATGCTATTTTATTCAGAATGTCTTTGGATAGTAACTATAATTCAGAAACTGCAAAACTGGGTATTGTTTGATCGGTTCATCGGCCACTATTATGGTCTGACTTTACTGGGCATATAAAGTTTTCTATGGTCTCAAACCACCATTATTACAGCAGCAGATTCAACCATCAAGCATTGAAGGCACTGATCTTGCAGTGGAAGATGGAACATCAAAGCTGAAAGAGGTTTGGCTTATGGTGCTTGGACAAATTTGTCTAATGCAGATGTGTCCAAGGCATGGAACCCTTTAACAGCAGCAGCCACGGTGAGTGCAAGTTTCACAGCATCATCATTGCTTGGTGCCTGCAGGGTGTTTTATCTTAATTTAACCAAGAAATTGCCATAATCTATAACAACTCATGCAAAAGATGTACTTCTATACCTCAATATTAAGAGGAAGAACAGGATCATGAAGTGAAAGTCTAAGAAGGAACCACCCTCCAAATCCAGAAACTCGAACCTGTTTACAGGAAATAGTTAGGAATGCTTCATAGAAATTTGTTATTGCGCAGTAGAAATGCCATTGGATTTGTTGAGGCCAAAAGGCAACTCATTTCAAATGAAGAATTGACTCACTAGTGAATGATTTGACAAAGAAAACTTAAATGATTAGATTTTTAGAAGGAGAACTCACTCCTTCATAGTTTACAGGGGCTTTCTGAAGCTTTGGATTTGAATTTACAGAGTTCTCTAAGTGTTCCAGCACTGCTTCCCCATAATCCCGGAAAGATCTGTATGTCCCTACCAATCAGTTGCTTTGACAGAAACCAAACAGAAGCAGAAAAGTTGGAAACTTATAAAGCATCATACCCTCCTTTAAGATCTGGATGACTCTGATTAATCTTTAATCGCAGTTCCACAGCAACAGCTGGTTCCTCCAGACCCTCAACCAGATCAGTTAGAACTTTGCTGCCATCACTTCTTCCAGAAGCCCTAGCTGAAGCTAGTTTGTTTAGGAGTTTGACCTGTGCCCCATGTGGAGAATAAAAAGAGAAGTTATATCTCTGAACATACAGAAGAAGAAAGTAGACAGCTGCGTTGTGTTAATCTTTGGATAATTAAAAAATGCCAACATAGCACACTGATGTTTATAATTTGCATTAAAACCCTACCATCAGGTATGCTCCATCATCAAGCCAGTGGTTCTCCTTGAGAGCTCCATGGCCACTGGTTTCAATGGCCAGATATGATTCTTCTCCAACAGAGTTCTGTAAACAGTTCTATTCCCTTAGTTTCTAAATTTTAGTTTATAAAATAAAAAACTATACAAGTCAACAACACCATGTTAGTAGTATTATCAAAACAAGATAATCCAAAATCAGATAGTAACATGGCAAGACAGTCTACAGATTATCTGTATAAAAACGAAAGGCATTCAGTTATTCCACCATCAGCTACAGATTATTTGCAGTTGGTAATCCCTCTGCAGTTAATAACTCCTCACTAGAGTGTCTCACATCAGTTCTTATCCCCATCTTGCAACTTAGATATAAGTTTCTTCTCATTATGCCTTAGCACCCTGCTTGGATGGATGGAGTCTAAGAGCATATTATCAACAGTGAGACAATGACTTACCAATCGAATAGCCTCATCAATGACATTTTTGTAGCCTCTTTTGAACCTACGGTGTTTCCCCCCTAAACAAAATTGCAAGTTATTAATGCACTATTAGAAAAGAAATAAAGAAATTAACATATCAGAATTTCAGTTCATTTCATACCAAGATTCTTTTCAATGAAGGAAGTAAGCCCATCTGAAGTGACACTGTCTGTGACAACGGTTGTTCCTGGATGCTGAAGGGAAAAACAAAGAGAAGAACTTACCATGGGAAAAAAGAAAAAAGGAGATATTTGCTGAGCTAAGGTTTATACTTTAGACAGGAAAATCTTACTTCCTCAAGAACAATCGCAGATATTAAAGCAATCAAACGATTCCTATTGAACTCACGACCAGAAGAGTCCACAGCGGCAGACCTTTAAGAAACACTTGTTAGAAGAGGATAATACTTAAACATCCATGATGAACACAACAGTAGTGATAACTATTACCTGTCAACATCTGTATCAAAGATGATCCCTAAATCAGCCTTGTTATCAAGAACTGCCTTCGTAATGGCTTTCATTGCAACCTTATCCTCTGGGTTGGGAATATGATTTGGAAACATTCCTGATCCAGCAATAATATCTCATCAAAATCACCATTATCAAACTTCTAGTAAAAAATTCCAGAATTGCACCTTACCATCTGGCTCCAAGAACTGACTACCAGTAGTAATAGCTCCTAGAGGCTCAAGCACCTTGGCCTGCCAAGCAATTGAAATAGGGAACCAACAATCAAACACAGAACAAACTGCATTTCTGAATTCTTTACAATTATGAAATACCAGTCTTAAGATGAGGACAATCATTCCCTTCAGCCAGATGAGAGATGATTGCATAAATGAGAACTAAATGAATTACATTTAGAGGAAATTTGAGACATGCTTATTAATTATAACACTAATAGCAAAAGGTTGCAGATTGTTGTTAGACCTAAAGACCATGTATGAGAAATAAGTATATACAATATATGGTGAAAGCAGAAACATAAAAGCACTCAATTATGGTTAGAAATAGAGCTAAAATCTTATTTCATTCTGAGAAGTAACATAAATCTGCAAATTGAACTTACAGCAAAAAATCCTCCTGCTCCATTTCCTGCATCAACAATAATGTGGAAACCATCCAACGGCTTCTCTAAAAGTTTAAAAAACAGACAATTAGAAAGTAGAATTTTACCAATGTGATACTTGTAATTAAACAATGATAGTTTGTGAATGTATTGCATTTCCCATGAAGTAGAAAACAAAATTGACCCACAATATTCCCAGCATAATCAAAGTAGACAAGCAGAGACTTATTACCTATATTTCCAGCAGCTTTGCGGACAGCCTTTACAAGATCAGATGTATATAGAGTCATGTAATCAATTTTTTTAACTGATGAAGAAACTTTCCCATCCAAAGATCCTTCAGCTGCAGACCTTTTGTATACATCTGCAGCACGTTCTAAGATTTCTTTAATTTCAGCTTTTCCGAGACCTCCAGCACTTGTGAAGAATTTGAATCCATTCCTGTTGTAAGGAAGATGACTAGCTGCTCACAAGTCAAAAGATTATAAGGTGGAGACAATCTTTGAGAAAAAGTATCCTCACATGATCAAAAGCGAAAGCTGAATATGCATAAAAATTTTTCATGGCCTCATGGGAAGTCATTTTGACCCCTATGAGGCAGAATTTTAAAGCGTACAGGTGTCTTATATATCCAAGGATGGTATCAAACAGAAGAATGACATGTTTATACTACCTGTTATCATTATAGCCCCATCGGCTGGACATAAAAATGTCTCATCTTTGGTAAGTGTGCTATTAAACATTGCTGGTGTAGATGCTAAACTACAGAAAGGAAAATGACATCAATCAGTGCAAGCTGTTAATATATCTTTCTTTTTTTGATCAGCAGCCATTAATATATCTTGCAAAGAAATAAGTTTCCTTATGAGATGAACCAGCACAAATGAAAGATGCCTGACCCATATTGAATAACATCAAGTCCTGCACGAGTAATGCCTCGGGAAACTGCATCCTGGAAAGTAAATTGTCAGTCTTAGTAACTTAAAAGATTAATTCTTATTACTTTGCTCTAACACACAGGACCAGTGCAAGTAAGACTCTAAAAAAAGAAAGCACATTTTTACACTCAAAGAATTTGTGAAATTATAACATTTGTGCATGTCAAAAGGACACTAGAATCACATTAGAATTAAAATTACTCACATAATGGACATACCTGTAAAGTTTGTGCTGATATACGAGAATCATGACCAATGGAAACTCTCAAACGTCGAGGAGTATCAGCCTTTTTCTTTTTCGATAACCATGCAGCAAAAGCTGCAGCTATTGCTTCAGCAACTGGCTCTGTAAGGTTTATAGGTTCTCCCTCAACACCAGCAACAGCCACACCTCGAATATCACTGCATATTCATCGGTAGAAAAAAATAAAAAAATAACATAAGCATAAAATGCTAGAGCAAATGCCATCCTGATTAGAAACAAAATTTGAAGTCTAAACATATGCCATGCTGGATGTATCCCACACCTGCCATTCTGAAGCTTCAGAAAATCAACTTTGTCAAGAGACGATATTGCAGTTGCAGATGGAACAGCTGCATTATTAGTCCCAAAATGAAATATAAGAATTTAGGAGATATAGAAATCCTGTTAAAAAAATTGTAACAAAAAAGCACAATAAAAAAGTACGAGTTTGTCATAACATCCCACAATCCAAAAGAATGCATGAGGTATATACATAATCTAAAGCAACATAACATTTGAAAGTATTTTAGGTGGGTTTAGAACACAATTGTTGCCCTCAATGTCAACCTGGGTAATCAGAGTCTAGAACAGACCATTGCAGTAAACAGTTCCATGACCATGATTAACAAAAGCACTCTGGTACTTTGATAAGGTGTGAACTTGCATGGAAGAGATGCCAGTCCATGCCAACTTCCCCCCATGAAAGGGAAGCAAGGTGCGCGTATAAGGGGCACAACTGTCCCTTTGGTATTGGGTTCGGAACTGCCTATTTTGTTGGGAGCACTGTGCTAAACAAACATTTTGAACAATCTTCCCTGACATTGCTGCATAGAATTTACAATTCCATCATAATAAACACGTCGAGTTTCACACTTTACGAGCTGAAATTGCAGGAATCTAATTCGAAAATCAAGCTAACAGAACCGGAGGAGACTGAGAATCAAAGTAGAAGTAGGATTTCTCACCTGCCATTGATGACTGACAGATCAGAAGAACTCCGAATTCCGATGGGAGACGAGAATCGGACGGAGAAACTGAGAATCAGATGGAAAACACGAGGCGAGAAGAAGAGTAGGTGTCTGTAAATCCGCCACAGGTGCCACAAAAAAAAAAAGAGAAGGAAGGTTTAAATGCCAATCCCTCAACTTTATGGTTTTATACAATTTTTGTCTGTAAATTATTATATGTACTTTTTCAGTTTTCAACGTTAAAAAAAAGGTATTTTTCCTGTTATTATGTTAATTAATTTGTTAAATTTATTTATATATGTACGTTTTGATTTCTTAAATTTATAACTAAAAAATGTGTATATATTGTAAATTTAAGTATTAAAAATGTGTTTTTTTCAAGTTTGGGGTTCAAAAAGGGTTAAATTATTTAGGGGCCAAACTTTTCCATTTTGGGGCTTAAAATTTGCCTTTTACGGAAATTTAAAAAAAGAAAAACCAAAAACAAAAACGGCACCGTTGGGATAAATTTGGAACGAATGTACTCTACGCCAAGGACCATTACGGCTGGATAAGGCTATATAAGCGTCCGTTTAAGGCAGACAGTTTCTCTCCATCGTGTATCTTTCGAGGGTTAGGGTTTACAGATTTGGAAATCGGGAAAGATGATCGAAGTAGTGTTGAACGATCGGCTCGGGAAGAAGATCAGGGTGAAGTGCAATGAAGATGACACGATCGGCGACCTGAAGAAGCTGGTGGCGGCGCAGACGGGAACAAGGGCGGAGAAGATCCGGATCCAGAAGTGGTACAACATCTACAAGGATCACATCACCCTCAAGGACTACGAGATCCACGACGGAATGGGTCTCGAGCTTTATTACAATTGAAATCCACCACTTATCTATGTAATTCATGCTTATTAGGTTCACTGCCTACTTTTTTATCTTATTAGGGTCTCTGTCTACTCTTTTATGTAATTCTGGCTTTTAATTCTATAATTACTGGATTTCAATCCTGGTTGTGTTCTTAAGATATCCATGATTCTCGACAGTTTTATTTTAAGTATGTTTGTTTGATCTCCGAAGTTATTGACGATCCTGAAAAAAAAAAAAATCGATCGGAGTTGACTCTTTGATCCAATAAAAGAAGAAACATATGATCGTTTATTGTTTTTGGGCTTCTAGACAAATAGTTGGCTACTTGGGCTCTAAATGGGCATTATGGTGGGTCTTGTTTATGGATATTGGGCTTGAAAGTAATTCAATTCAATCTGTGTAATGGATGGACCAGACAAACCGGATCATATTTAGGGGTGAGCACTTAGATAAATAATAGGTATAAAAATAGTATCACAAAGTATTAAGTTAAATAATAATTGTAAGAGTTTAAAATTATTTACTTAATTTGTTTAATCGATTTATTTAACTGATTTGTTATATGTAATTATATAATTGAAATTTTACTTATATTTATGTACTTTATATATATAATAACAATGATTTTTTAAATAAAAATAATAAAGCACAAAAATAAACCCTAAGCTTAAAAAATCACATACAACATATAAATAAAAAAATCTTAAAAGTAAATATATGACACATGCAACAATAACAATTTATACAAAACTTCTTCTTTTCTTAAGTTAAGTACATAAATATATATCTACAAGTTATTTAATAACTGTTAAGTACCAAATAAAGGTATTCAAGTATTTAAATAAGTATTAAATTTAAAAAGTTATACCTAAAAATTTTCAAATTAATTATCAAATATAATTAATACATGATTTGGACATTAAAATTATTGCCCCTAATCATACTTTTGTACTTGTTTATTTTTTGGGCTTCTAGGGGCTCGATTTTTTAGTGGGTCATGTTTGTGGATAGTGGACTTGAACGAAGTCCATTGGGCTATAGGTGAACTGACAATTGCCCTAGGAGGTGGTTTTTTATTTTTTTGGTAAATGAGCAATAAGAGATCTTAAAAGGTCCTCGATACCATACCAGTATTTTTTTTTTTTTTGCATTAATCTCCAGGTATCCGGTAATCATATTGAATCTTGATTAATTCGAAATCAAACTGTGTCGGACCCCATTAGGAAGAAACTCTCCCAGCGCTTGTTTCTCCATTCACAACACTCGAATTAGAAACTTTATTTAAAAAGAACCGAACTCCTTCAATTCGGATTAACAGTTTATTGGTATACCATACTAGTATACTCGCATGCGTATTAAGCTCGCAAAATTTTTGTTTGGCAGGGAAAAAAGAAAGATAACTTGGAAATTTTGAAATTCGGCTGCTTGAGTTTGTTTTACAACCAAAAGGAACTCAAACTTAAACTTGATTGGTTTGATTAAAAAAACTCAATTACCAAGTTTTAGTATATCCATACTAGACTGTATTATATATATAGTCTTCTCCAAAGTGGATTTTTTTACCATACTTAGCATACACTAATGATGTGATAATATCATGAGATTGTGTCATGTGCTATTTAGCGGGATGGGATTGAAGAGTTTCAGACACGATAATTAAGAGAATCACATGGACATGGTAGTAACATCCACTAGGGTGGGCCAGCATCCCTCGACTCACGAATCTTTGTCTGCCTTGTGCAAACCCAGTTGAAGCCAGTTCGATTGTTGAATGCTCTTGTCTCATTTGACCTCAAATCCCAATGCCACCATTTATATCCTCATTTATTTCTGTTTCTCCCTCCCTTTCTCCATACTGCTTTCTCTCTCCACCACAACAGTCAAACAAACTGCTTCCCTTTCCTTCCTTCAAAATCAACTAAATAAATACAAGAAACAAAAAAAAAAAAAATGAAATTCAGATAAATTTACAATGTGTATTTTCTATATACGTTAATGGGAGTTGACTTAGAGAGCAAATGTTGCCTTAAGACCCGGTTTGCAGTGCTATCATCTCAACAGAAATTCCGCATAATCTGAAAATAGGATCTGAGTTTTTGTTTTTTTAAGTGACCCTACTTCTCTGCCCCTGGTTTTTGTCAACATTGGATCCAAGTTTTGGACTTTGGAACCAATGAAGTTTGTAAAAATCATACATGGAACTCTGAGTCAACTCCAAAGCAAACCCTGTTTTGGTGTTTTGATTTCTCATAGGAACAAGGAACAACAGGGTTGGGATCTCTAGGCTGTGTCGTTGAATTTGCATAATAGGACAGCCTACCCCCCAAAGACATGGTTAAACCAAAGAAAATGGACCTACCAAAGACATTCCAATCCTAATGCAAGGGATCGAGTGAGGGACCATGTCTTTCCTAAGGTTCCACACCTAGTTCCTTGACTTTTCTTTCCTTTCTCTCTGTCTAGGTTAAACTTGAACTTTCTAGTTATTAGCCTATTACTGAGGTTTTGTATGTAGCAGTGAGTTTTCAGTTCAAAAACAGTACAAATCCAAACCAATCGTGCACGCAAAATCGACATCGTTTAAAGAAGGAACAATAAATTTGTGGGAAATCCGCTCCTAACTTACAAAGACTGGTAAATCTGTTTGACTTGTTTCTCTTTACTTTCTCTTTTTCTCCCATCTGCAAAAAATCAACTTCGTGCTTGGAGGTTTATCAGTCTTTTATGAAGAATATTTATGGTTATACCTAACAGGATATTTGAATATCTCTACAAATTGCTCACCCTTTTTCTTTTTCTTTTTTTTTGTTCTTTTGGTCTAATTAATTTTATTTTCTTGTACCGAACCGAAGCAATATCATACATCTTCTTGAGGTCCCTTCTTTAAGCAGACAACGATTCTATGGAAATGGAGAAGCGAGAAATTAACAAAGAATTCCTAGCTTTCAAGAATATTTCGGTTACTTCTAATTTCTCAAAAATAAATCCAACATAAGCTACCGAACATGGTTTCTCAGAATCCCAAAATTGGCTGGAGTAGGCTTCCTTAAAAGAAAACAAATACTATTATTAAAACCAAGCATTTGAAAACTGTACAATTAGTAAAAACTCCATCTCTATCCTCCTATGTTGTCACTGCCAGAATCCAACACGCTCATCCTCTATCTTCCTATGTTGTCACTGCCTGAATCTGTAAGAATTGTTAGCCTTCTTGCTGTCTTCAGAAACTCACTGCAACACGAAGAAGAACAGTCATTAGGAACAAGAGATAATAACTGAGTTGATATATAATAAATAAATTGAAAGTAAGAAGATTCATTAAGAAAAATAAAGAAGCACTAGTCTACCTGAAGGGTTCATCTCCAGTGTGTTTAACAGAACCGGTTGCATCCAAATAGATCACACCACTCAGCATCTCTGAATTTTCTATCCCAAACATGTTGGCTAGCTTCCCATACAGCTCTTCATATGATCCAAGGACTGAAAGATCCAGTGTTCGACCCACATCTTCTGATTCCATAAAAACTTTGCAATGACCAGTCTCCGAGTGATCAGCTTTCTTGTGGCCTTTGCACCAAGGAGATCCTTCATTTGAAGAATTTTCTAGAGGGGGATTCTTGTGTAAAGCTGAACCAGAGCCATTGGAAGAAACACCGGTCTTCTCTGTATTTCCCTCTGACAAACTGTTCCCAAGTGTATCACCTGAGCAGCTTTGAGAGGACTGCTGGTCAGTGGCTATGAGTTTACCAAACAGTAAGATACGGGATGTCTTTACTTCATTATTTCCCTCCAAACTCTGAGGGGAATTTCCAATTCTCAGCAAGCAAGATGCATTACCATTGTTTTCCTTCTCAGTGAAAAGCTTCTCAGTTGGGTTTCTATAAGGAGGGGCAGCGTGATCAAGCTGCTGAAATCCAACTGGAAACAGACCTGTCTGCAGCTTGTTGAAGTGGAGATCTGATGGAGACAATCCAAATTGCACATGCCTGGCTCCCTGTATGCCTGCAGGTATGTTGTCTGTAATGCAAGATAAGGGGCTGCTAGATCCGAGAGGGTTGCCAGAAAATGGTGGCACAGGAAATTGGTTGAATAAAAAGTCAGGCTGTTGTGGAAGCCTCATCTTTTTCCTTGGTGAAAAAGCATTAAGATGAATGGGTGGTATGTTCGATACCAGTTCAACCAACCAAGGATTAACCCGCTTCACATTTTGAAGTAAATCTGGTTCATCCCACTGTACCTGAAAGACATTAATGACTTAGCAGTAGAAAGATCTAGACAGTATCTACATGGGTAAAGTTTTTGCTTCCCTTCACAGGAATGCATGACATTAGTCTAAATTGTGAACTAATTCTTCTCATTTTTGCATTTTGGGCCCACTAAAATGCTTGGCATCTAGCCATTCATCTAACCCTGGATTAAGATAGCAGTGAGATACCAAAAATCCAAGCGGTATGGAGAACAAAACTGAATCAGAAGTACCAGCAGTTGAATTGAAGACAAGTAAAAGAAATGAAGGACATAGCATCTAAAGTTGATAAACATGTAGAGGTCAAAAATTGAAAATCAGAAAAGAGAAAATACCTGGAGAAGACGCCATGGAGAAGTGGGCCAATGAATGGGATCAACAACCTGAACAGAAGATATTGTTCCCATGAACCAGCTAATCCGTGATGAGTCCTCAGTTTCAAAAGCCATTTTGAACCTCATCCCTGGACACCACTGGATTTGCATGGCAGCTCTAACTGAGGAAGCCTTCACACAAAACTCTGGAGTGCTTGCTCGTGGATAGTAAACAACCTCGAAGGGCTGTCCATTGGCAGCCAAATTTGCAGCTTCAATAACTGAATCAACCCTTACTCTTCCCTTCATATCCCCATTAGAATTTCTCCTCACTGATTTGCTTTCCTCCTCCTTTAAAAAGGGCGAATATCCTCCAAACTGGGAGCCAGAGTTTCCACCCCCAAAATTCCAGCCAGGCAAATACTCATGACCACTTCCAATTCCTTTCTTTGCCCGACGAATTCCCACACAAAGATCCCCATTCTCTGCTCTCAGAAACACAATTGAATCACCCGCCACAAGCTTCTTATGATTCACAAAGTTACTCCACCCTGTCGTCAAAAGATGCCGCCGAGGTGTCCCCCTATAAATATGCCTAAACTTCCAAACGTTTCCATGGACATCCTTGACCAGAATATTCTGAACAGGAGGCTCTGCACTATAGTCCAGTTTAGGGAAGATAGTTTCTGCACAATAACGTGGGACAGAGAAACCCCCACCATTGTTAGCATCGGACTGTGTTAGAGTCTTAGCAAAGGAGGCAGATTTCTCGTTATCCTCCATCCCACTGTTCCCATCAAAATTGTCATCCTCATGGCCATCATCCCTCAAAGGAACTAACAACATTTTTGCAAAAACCTCATCGGTTTCAGGATCCGCCATATACTTAATCCCAGAAACTTGACATAAGATAAGTGGAGGAATCGGAAAATTCCTGAAATCTACATTACCATTAGCATGCTCAGCATGTCCCTGAGGAAAATAGTAGACCTTGGAGTGGACTGCAGGCATCTGGACCATGCCACCAGCACAGGCATGCCACAGTTGAGGATCCAAGCATTTTTCTAAGTTCCTCAGGGGTTCATTCACAGAATCCATAACTCTAATCATTGTTCAGCTACAGGATCTGCATCATATAAAACAAATATTTCATTATTTCTCAGTCAGTTAAATACTCCTCAAGTACATCACAAATTAAGATCAATAATCTTAGTAAAAAAAATCACAGGAAAATCAAATTGTTTCCCTGTTTGGTTGCAGAGAAACTTTCAGGAAAACATTATGATTTCAGGATCGAGAAGAAATCATTGATTATCATCATCATCATTATCAACAACAAATAATAAAAAAGAAAACAAAAACGACGGTTAGGTGACAGATTAGAAGATCTAAAAACTACTTGCTACTCTCATTTTCCTCCGTTTCCTCGGCAACCAAACAGAACCATAGGCAAAGCTTCTTCCCATACAGGACCGATAAAGACAAAGAGAAAAATAGCTACGGCGTCTTACCTTGACTGAAAGAAAGAGTGGTTCTCTAGTAAGAGAAAAAGACCGCCGGACAAGGGAGAAGTAAATGTAGTAGCTCTGATTCTAAACCCTAACAAACTCGAGAAACGTACGGAGGCGGGGCGTCCAAGTCCAACACGGAACTGGTAAGGTTTTTTGAGAACCGAAATCTGCGGGGATGAGTAGATGAGTGAAAAGAGTAGAGGAGTCCAATTTTTCTCGGGAAAGTGAAGGAAAATGGATTGAAGAGTGAAGAGTGAAGAAGTGGTTTTTAAGGTGAGGGGTGGGGGATGGAAAGAGGGAGACGGATTCTGCCGACCAGAGATAGTATTGCTGCAGAGGGGGAGAGGAGAGTGGGTTCTTTTCGAAGGGTGTGGATCGCAAGGGAGTCCAAGATGAGAGACAAATTCAGGTGATTCCCTTTTTCTTTCTTTTTTTTTTTTTTTTAATTTCTTTTTTATATTGTGAATCGCACAACACACGCTTTATCTTGTTTTCTTGTTTTACTCTCGATCAAATCCGCGTGGACTACACGCTCCTTGTTTTTTTCTTTTTGTTTTTTTTTGTTGGCGTTGGTTTTTATTTTTTTTCTTCTTTTTTTTTTTTTCTATTAAAACCCTTTAGTCTTGCTTTTTTTTATAAATTAATCCACCCTACCACTAATAATCTATAAATTTATTAAATTTGAATGCCAAGCACATATTACTGTATTGATTATATTAAAGGCTTTTTAAGAATTTAAAGAGAAATGTAACTATAAGATATTATAATTTATTATTTTTTATTCATCTCTTGTGTTTCTTGTAATTTAGTCTAACCAAAGTAATATCTCTTCTTGTTTCAAATGAAGCAAGGCATATGAGAGTGGTTGAATAATTTTAAAGTATATGAAACTTTCTTAAAGGTTATATCATGTCCTCTTACTCATTTGGCTAGTTTAAAAATGATTAAGCACTTATTTGCTATATATGAATATTTCTTTACTAAAAAAACTTATACATGTTTGACAAATTTAAGTCAATTATAGATTTTATAATACCATTTTAACAAGTCAATAAGCTAAATTTTTTTGACAATCAAATTAAGGGATTCAAAAGAATTGAGAAGGGGCAATCAAATTAATTGATAATTGGTTTTATTGATTTTTTTGACAAAGTATTTTATTTATTAATAAAATTCATATGATATCTCTATAAGTAAAAGAAAACTTTATCACAAAAGTAATAACTTACAATTATATATAACAATTATTTAAGTACAAAACAGATATGCAAATAAAAAAATAAATTAATTTCACCACCATTTTAATATTGAAAAAAGGGTCTTTTGTGGAATCTATTTGGAGGTTGTTAATCATGTGCTTGCATCTTGCATTGTGCAAATGGGCTTAGAACCTTTGGAGTCGGATTTGTTGCTGGTGGGGATTTTCTTTTGTTCCTCCTAACAGTGCTTCCCATTAGTTTCTTCAGCTTAGTTCACTGTTGGATTCTAGGAAATCATGGCATTGTTGGATTCTCACTATCTTAACAATTGCTTGGACTATTTGACATGTCAAAAATGAAATTGTGTTTAAAAATATGTCATGGGATAAAAATATATCAGTTGATCTTGTTCAGTCAAACA